ATATATATATATATATAAAATATTGTTTTCTACATTCACAAAGAAAAAAGAATATCAAAATCTATCCCAGAGCAATGGAATATCATCGGGGTTTATCTAAGGCGTTTTAAACAGAATAAGACAGACAAATGTACTAGACTTGGTTGTGAATTTTTAATTTTTCATTGTAGAATCTTTAACACAAAGATGAGAAAAATGTTAGACAAGATAAATCATCACCATTCCAAATGGAAATCCATTCTTTGTGTAACAAGTTAAATGGAACATACTGCTGATAGGGTAGGAGGGAAAATGCTATTTACAGAGAAAAACACAGAATCATAGAAATCTGGGCTTGTCTTTGGCACAACAGGAGGTGTTAGGGTGAGAGTCAGTATCCTGGCTTCAAAGGCTGTAGCTTGGCTTATCCTTTGAGGCTACTTACATATTGTCTGTGACTCCAAAATGCAGCACTCAGCCCCAGGCTGAAAGCCTTAGGGGTCCTGCTTCTTCTCTGTCCACCTGTCTCCTGCATTTTGTGTGAGTGTTGTTTCTTTTTCTGCCAAACTGCACAGACCAGAGTTAATGAAATATTTTAGTACTGGAACAACATACTTCACTGTTTCTACTTTGTGCTTTCCCTGTTTATATAATCTAGAATTGTCTTCTCTTCCAGTGTTGAGCATGTATTTGCTTACAATTGTTTTGTGGGCTGTTGCAACAGATGGATTGGTAAATCCAATTTCTTTGGATACAACAGGCATGTTATGTTATATATCACCACTATTTTGAAAGAGCAGGAACCTCTCCTCCAAACCACAGCTTTCAGCATGGCTCTGGGTCCCAGGCAGAGAGAGGGAAGGGAATTGTTACTTTTATTGCACAGGGATCCCATTCAATTTGTGGATCCCATGAAAAGATCTCAGGTTTTAGCTTTAGAGCTTTCTGATTCAGTCCTAAGGGCTGCCCACTGTGTCTGCAGCAGGACACAATTACCCAGTTACAGACACCTCTGTACACACAATGCCAGTGAGAATTCCACTGAATTCTCTGTGTGAATTCTCAGCTGCTGTGTGCTATGGCTTTGCCACAGGAAGTATGTAGCCCAGTAAAAATCAGCAAATAATGCCCTGTAGATATCACACATGAATATTAGGGTTTTCTGTAGCTTATTTTTCTTGGAGAATAGTACAATTTTTGCCCATCCTGAAACTATTAATACCAAACAGAAACTTAAATCTGTGAGCTCTATTTACACACACATACACTGTCATTAGGCTCAGAGTTTTTCCCTGCTGAAAGGAAGCAATAAACATCAGTGTTTGCACACTCACTTCCACAGCTCAGCTGAGTGAGGGGCCAGGTCCCACCGTGCCAGCAGAAGAGTGTCTGTGTTTAGCCCATAGCCAGGGCTGAAGTGCAGCAGTTGCTCCATCACCCAGTGACCCCTCCCCAGCCAAGAAGGTGGATCAGGAGAAGGAGACCCACAAGCTGAAATGAAAACAGATTTAATGAACCAGCCAAACTAATACCAATGGCAGTATAAAGTAAACAAGGTTATACTCAGCTCAGCACATGGGTGATGGTCACAATGAATGGGGAAGGCAACCTCAGGAGCAGGAAGGGGAGCAGGGTCAGGAGGAGCCTGAACAAGAGCAGGAGCCTGAACAAGAGCAGGAACCTGAACAAAAAGCCTCCTATCCCTGGCAAACCTTCCCCTTTATACTGAGCATGACATTTCTGGTGTGGGATGCACCTGTAGCCAATTCAGGTCCAAACTGCTAATGGCCTGCAGACTATGGCAGGCTTGGAATTCTGTCCCAGCAAAACCAAGACAAAGAGTCACTGGTTTTGCCAGCAAACTATGTACTGAGCTAAGTACAGGAAAAGGAGACTGGTCTCGATCAGGTACAGAATAATCTTTGGGCCATTAAAAGGTAGATAGTCCAATTCAGAACTATATTCTGCTTTGAAATTTTTTTTCTAGACAGTTTAATAAGATAAGGTTCAGTATGGTTGAATAAAATATATATATATATATATATATATATAGCCAAAAGTCCTAAAGCCAAGGACTTAAAATTTAAGAAACACTCCAGTACAATTCACCTCTGTTCAGACCTGGAACATCATTGTGTGCATGACTCATGTGGAAAAACTAGTGTCTGATCATGTAACTGAAATCTGTTAGGTAATGCACATACTTATGTCTGCTGGTTCCCAAAATTAACACAGGCACCAAGAGAGCACGGAAAAGTACTAGCAAACAATCTGAGTGTTGAGGAGCGTAGAGGATACAAGAGATGAAGTGGATGATTAAGCACCAGAGTGAAGGTCAATAAATAGTTTTTTTTTTTTTAAAGACAAAAAGAGCTTTGACACTTGGACCCTGCTGAGGAGAGAGAATACAATTTGCTTGGGTCTGGAAAGCAGCAGAACACAGATGAGTCTGTTCCCATAGTGCAGTGCAGAATGTGCCCATGGGTAATCCTGCCCTCTGTGCTCTGGTCCAAACACTGCTAAGGACTTCATATTAAGATGCCATACAATAAAATTAACTACACTGTAGGTGCCATCCCATACTTCTGCTTTGACAGTCTCAGAGTGATGTAATAATCTCATTTATAGTCCATTGAATTAATTTGTTCTCTTCATAGATACTTTGATTTCAGCCTCCAAGCACTTACATTATTAGAATCCTGCAACATGAAGAAGGCTGTACCAGAGCTAGGATCTTCCAGAGTCTTCAGGCCAGCCTGGAAAGAAGTGGCATGTTTTGAACCATGACCTCCACTGGAACAGTCTGTAGAGTACAACTGAGTATCTGTTACTTGACTTCATTAAATCAGATTGGATGACTTTATTAAAAAAGCTTGACTTATTTTAGACACTTTTACTGGTACAGTGAAAAACTCTGAATTAAAGAAGAGGCATGTTCTGCCTTTCTGGAAGCAGTGCCAGCCTATCCGCTCTGTCCTTTGCTCTTTGGTTGTCATTTCTTCATCTCTATAAAGCACTTTCAAACACTGAAGTGACAGCAGTGAAATGAAGCGTGTGTATTTCTGGTGCAAGACCCAATTTTACACTACTTATTCTAGGCTTTTCTTCTAGTGCATTAATAGAATTTTTTTCTCCCTTTCTTTTTTTTATTTTCCTGGGAATTTTAGGTGAAGATGCTTTGTTGCCAACACCTCAGAATATCTCTATTCTTTCTACCAACATGAAACACTTCTTAACTTGGAGTCCTGTGATTGTCCAAGGAGAAACTGTGAGATACTCCGTTCAGTTTCAGGGGTAACTTCTGGATGTTTTTCCTCTTCTTTGCTTTTTTGGACACTGTTTTTTTTTCCCCCACTTGTGATCAACAGTGCTGGAGTATCAAACTTATGCCTGTGTGCTGAATAGTGTGCAGGAAAGCCAAACAGTGCAGGATTTTAAGTCTAAGTAAACAGTTTGCTCTGGTTCTGGGAGTGTTTACAGGTTAGTAGGTACCTGGGTAACCCAAGGTGTACATTAAGAATACATATAAAAACTGCCATTGTCCAAAGAATTCAAAAAGTAGGAAGATTAGCAACAGTTTGTTTAGAAGACAAGAGAGAAAATAAATGAGATTTATTCAGTGTTAAACTTCTGAACATTTAACCCATATTACAGGAGGTTTCTGGTACCTCTTGAGCTCTGACTTGTATCACACTATGGGTTTGGAATTCTGCCTTCCAAGGGATGATCAAGTCAAGTGAGTAGGCAGGATTTGATGCATCAACACTGTGTTGACTGTCCCCACCTCCTACAATATCAGGCTGCACTTGGCTGATGAACAAGGTGGCTCTGGGAGATCCTCTGTAGATACAATCTAAAACACAGCCATGCTGTTTTCACACACTCCTGGGACTCCAGCCTCAGTGTATCCTCACACTAGTTTTACCTGGAAAGAACTAGCAGGCAGCCTTAGCCCCTGTCAGAGGTAAATACCCTGGGAGCCTGTTGCCTGTCTGCTTTCCCCTCCTCTGCTCAGGGAGTATGAACGAGAGTATGCCAACGAGAGCTGGATCCCCATCTGCGAGTGCTCCCTCCTGGCCACCACGGCGTGTGACATCACAGAGGACATTTCAGCCACCGTGGCCTACAGCCTGCGTGTGAGGGCACACCTTGGTGCTGGCAGATCAGAGTGGGGCACCCTGAAAGGTTTCTTCAATCGCATCACAAGTGAGTCCTGCTGTTTGCCTTAAGCTACTTCGGTCCTGTTAATGGCTCAGAGCTTGGTGTTGAGGGATCCCTTACGTGCATGTTTCTAGATATGGGTGTCACACAAAGCCCATAAATGCACAGATCACATCCTGTTTCTCAGCCTCTCTCATACTGGGTTGGGATGTTCCACTCTTAGAGAGCAATGCTGTGTTCTTGGACATGGGTTCCTCCTGGGCCAAATTTACCAGGGTTTGAATTTCATGGGCTTCAAAGATAGGTAAGAAGACTTGAGGCATTTCTTTAGGCAAGTTGGCCACTGTTGACCTGATTTCAGGGAGTTCTAATCAATCAGGGCTGGTGTTGATGCTCCATTTAACCCATATCATTTAGTCACTTCTGAGGGTCCAGAACCCAATCTGATGGAAGCACTTACTGTAAAACTACCATGTCACCCTCTTTCTGCCTCATGCTGTCCTGGAAACCCCACTCCCTCCCAGACAGGATTCCCTCCTCCCATGTTGTCCAATATATGAAGTAACCTCAGAAGAGGAAAGAAAAATGAAATCTATTTGGTTGTATATGATGTTATAGCTTATTTATTTAGAGACATCATGTTAAGCAGATTCTCAGCTTTTAATTAAACATATAAAGTAGTTTTCCATGCCTCTCATTTGTGGCACACTCATCATAAACATACTTGGCTTCGATGTTTTCATGTTGCTCAGTATTAATGGCAATTCACTGGATCCAACAGCAAATTCTATTAAGAGCATCTCTTCTGTTTGTGGCTATATGTTGCTCTCCTTCCTTGCTTGAAAGCAAGAAGGTTGAAACCAGTTTCAGCTACAAGAGAGTGGTGAAGAATGGCATAGATAAGAAGTGCAGATGTGACCTCTGTACTGCCCTGATTCCAAAGTCTCAGCTGTACAGTGTGTGGTTTCACCCATGCTTGACTGATTCTGATTGTTTCACTAATACTCCTCACAGTAGAATTCCAGATTGAACCAAGCTTTGAGTAGTAAAGTAAGGATGAAGCAAATCACCTACAGATTTACTTGCATATGTTTACAAAAATTTAAGTCACAGCAGGTCATCAGTCCAAGTCTATGTAAAACAATGTAGAAACTAAAAGACAATCAGGATTCCTATAACTGCCAGAGTTATCCTGAGGCTCGTGTTGCTTTTTCCTTCACCTTTGAATAACTGCCAGAATTGCCACGAAGAAGCAGTGGTTTCACAGCTCCTGTTCTGTACGTTAGTGCTAAGCTGATGCCCAGGAGCAGCAGAACTGGCCTGATCTGGTGTCTCAACTTCTGGCTGCCCAGCTGGTTCTGCTGCTGTTGATCACATGGGACCCTCAGGCCAGACACTTTCTCCACTGGAGAAATTCAAAACTTTTCAAGTTCTGTGCAACTGAGCTATTGCCAAACTCCTGTTTGAATTGCCAGGCATGATCCTCCTCTTGCTCAAAGTCACTTGCTGTATTGAGACATACTGGAAGGTAGAGAGAAGTTTCTGCCACACAGAAGCAACTAGCTGTTAGTCCAGGTTGGCACCTTCTCTTCCTCACCTAGCTGGGAAAAAGACGGTTTTTAAGGGTTGCCTCTGATGTGTGATAATGGTGCTCTCTCTGTGTTGGCAGCTTCCCTGACCCCACCACTGATGAAGGTCATAGCAGATGGGTATCATTTACTAGTGGAGCTGGAAGACATGGGGCCTGCCTTTCAGTTCTGTATTCTCTATTGGAAGAAGGGCCAGGAGAGTAGGGTGAGTTTTTTGGGTTTTGGGCAATAACCGAAAGCCCACATACTTAGAGCAAAAGCATACAGACATTGCCTATAGCCTGTTTGCCAGGCCAAGCTCCTGCTGGGAGGCTGGAGGACCTGCCTGGAGTCGGCGTGTGCCATATTCCACGTACCAGTGGGTTGCTCTTACCCCCCACAGAGAAGCTTGTCTCTTCTTTCCACATTTCCTGCTCTGGGAAGAGGAATCCACCCAGAAACCTCAACTACTGAAGGAAACCAGAAGCCAGGAACTGAAGGTGTTTGTGCTGACTTTCTTCTCAGAACATCATTCGGTTTCCCCAGGCCAAGATTAAGTTGTCACACTAAGGTGCTGGCAGTTTTCCTAGGACAGTTTTGTAGAACAGCTTGCCTGTGACAGTGAGCTGTAAGTGGCTTAGGTGAGGGCATTTTTTTACACCTGGCTAATACTGAGCAGTGAAAATTTATGTTCCTTTCAGGTGCTTCAAGGCTAGGTGGAACAGGGCTTTGAGCAGCTTGATCTAGTGCAAGGTGTCCCTGGCCATGGCAGGGGTGTGGCTGGAACTAGATGATCTTTAAGGTCCCTTCCAACCCGAACCATTCTATAATTTGATTTTCACCAGATTTTTTTTGTTCTATTTTTTTTTCCCTATGGGACCTTTGTGCTTCAGTAGTTCCCAGGAGCATAAAAACTTGAAAGCAGTCATCTAAAGTCAGACCACAGGACCATCATACCCAGTATCCCCTCCACCATGGCTTTTTTCCACTCTGAGAAAGAATTAGCAATTTCACTATGCAAAAGTCTTTCTTCTGTCAGGAAGCAGCAGAAGCAGGGCTGCTTTCTGTAAGTCTGCTGTAAGCCAAGGCCAAGGGTGTTCCCAGTGCAAGCAGTGCCCTTACCAATGAAGCACAGACCACAGCCCACAGTGGGCAGAACCAGGTACTGGTAGCAAGGTCCATCAGCAGCCCCAGAAAAGGCAAGTGATGAACCAGGCCCAGAGGCTGCACAGGGACCCCAGCCAGGAGCAAAAGGACACAGGACCAGAGACAGGGCTGGAGGACAAGGCTGCAATGTAGTCACCAAGGGTTGATCCAGGACAAGCTGCCTACAACAACATCAGTCGAAAGTCCACCCAGGAGACAGGGCTGGAGACAGGCACACCTCCAGTATAGCTCAGATTGGGACTAAAGGTCCTGGGATGAGTTTCAGTGGGGCTCCTGGGCCATGGACACACAAGGTGGGTGGCCAGGCAGGTCTGGTCAGGGCCATTGCAACCTGGTTAGTGCACTCAGAGTTCTGAGGCCATTTCATCCCATGGCTGTTAGCTTAACAGGCTTTTAAAATAGATCTTCCTGACTACCTTTTGGAAATCCAACTAAAGGAGATCAAGCTGCCCCTGAGATTTATGTAACCTTAGAAGGAATCAGATAGGTTTGTATCTGATTGCCTTTTATGAATGAAATGTTTACACTTCTTCAGTATGTGAAATTAATCACCTAAACAGTAATTCCAAACTTTAGGATATTTTTTACCAACTGGACTGTCACAAGCACCAGGTTTACTGGTCAGTTCATGGCCAGTTCTCTGCTGAGACTCTTTTAATCTTTTTTTAAAATAATTGTCACATTTAACGTGTCTGATTTGAGATTTTTGCAAGAGGCTGCACACCTCAGGTGTCATTGACCTCATTTTGTCCTTGAAATCTTTTCAAACCAATGGCCCTCAAGACAACATTTCTGTGGAGACGGGTACTTTGGTGGAGAGAAGGACTTGCCCTGCCAGGAGGGCCCTGGTGGCTTATTGGAGGTGTCCATGTGTGCCTGATGCTGGAGGCTGAGCAGGCTCCTGTGAGTGCAGGCTTTGCAGCTGCAACACAGCAAGAACAAGGAGCAACTAGCTCCTAGTGACTTGTCCTCTCATGACTAAGGAGACTGGCAATAGTAAGTTGTCAACTGTGCTATTTATTGCAAGAAAACCATGTACTGCTGTTTACATGTGATTTAAGGGCTGCTGAAGGGTGTTACAGTTGCACACACCAAATTCCCTTGCTCCTCACTAGCCCAGCCTAGCCCCTCTGTGTGCTCTAGGGTCACAGCACAGTTCTGGCACCCCTGCCATATCATGCTAGCAGAGACATGATGGTATCCCAGCAAAAACTCAGATCAGTCAAGACCTTACACCAGGGGAGTAGGTCACAGTCTAGTGTTGTGGCCCAGCATCACCATCATCGTTATGCCTCTCTGGCTCACAGCTCCTTCATTTCAGCTCTTCCTTCCCTTCCAGACACATGTGGTCTCATTCTGCACTCCACTGTGCTTCCTTGTTTGCTGATTTTCTCCCTCACTCCTCTTATTCTCACAGTCCACTCTGACACCTCCTGCTGCTCCTTCCTTTTCTCCCAGTGAACTCTGGGCTAGCACCATACTAGGACTCCTATTCTCAGTTGAGTCCTTGTCCTATGTTCTGATGCTCTTTCTCCTGGGCCTGTGGCAGGTGCAGCAGAAGGTGGTGCAAGAGGTCAGGTCTGTGGTTCACCTGGCCACCATGGAGGCAGGACCTGATTACTGTCTAAAAGCTCAGACCTACGTCGAGGCCATCAACAGGAGCAGCAGCTTCAGCCCGACGCAGTGCGTGAGGGCACCAGGTAGCAGCCAAGCTCCTCCCTGCTCCCCTGCTCCAGCCATGCCTGAGAAGGGGACCCCAGCAGCTCTGCCTTTCCTTTCCTTTCTACCCAGTATCTCCTGTCTCATTTGTAACTGTGCTGCCCATTTGTTGCTGGTATCCCTTCCTGGAGGGTGCCCACAAAGAAGCACCAGGCTGGGTGGGAAGAGCAGCCCCCAAGGGTGCAGGCTGACTGCATCTTGTGCCTTGTCCTCAGGCTCTCTGAGCAGCTTTGCTGCTTTTGTTATTTCTAGGTGGCACATCCACATGGCTGGTTACTGCCCTCATCTCCTGTGCTGGCTTTGCTGTGGCTGGGTTTGCCCCCCACGTCCTCCGCCGAAAACACGTAAAATCTTCCAGTATTCCTGCGGCCCTGCTATTGTCCTGCCAGACACACTGGTAAGTTTTTTTACTGTGCTTTCTTGGTTTTGGAGGTGCTGGGTATTTGCAAGAGCATAAGGCAGGCAGGAAAGGCAGATGCTGGGTAGGAAGCCTTGCTCATCCTGGTGTGATGAGCTGAGCTGTGGGGCTCAAGCAGCCCCCCTGGGTCAGCTGCACGGCTGCCACTGCCTTGGGCTTAGAGCTCTGAACAGGGACCATGCTCCTGCTGCTTGTGAGGAAGCAGCTTGGGAGGCAGGGACCGACCCTGCCAGACCAGCTGCTCCCTGACCAAGACAGCAGTGGCACTGGCACCACTGCTCCGTGTCCCCTGGTACCAGCACGGAGCTCCTCAGCTCCTCGGTGAGGAGAAAGCAACCATCAGAAGCAGCCTCTTTTCTCACACATCAGGAGGAGTGCTGTCCAAATGTGCTGTCCAAGTCCAATCCAGGCAGCAGCTTTTGTTGCTGTGGGTTCTTGAGTGGTGGGTCTCTGGCAGCTGTAGGAGGAAGGATGGGAAGAACAGTTTGTGGTTAAAAGCAGAAGACAGACCGACCAGCTCCTCAGCCTGAAGGTGTTTGGGTGTGTTTGTTTTACAGAAAGTATCAGAGCACCCCATCCAGCTGATACAGTGTGGTGGTGAAGAAGCTGAGCAGTGTGATTTGATGGTGTGTGTGATACCCTCAGAAGAAATTCTCCAACTGTGGATTCAAGAAACACTTTAGAGCACCCCAGAACAAATCAGCCTGTGGAAACAGATCTTCTAAGCAGAGCTGGCAGATTGTCTCCCAGCCACTTTCCTCAGAGTGCCAAGAAGGTTGTTTGCTTTTCTAAAAGCTGCTGCAAACCAAAGGTGGCATTGTATGATGAGCATGTGGCCTGCTCTTGTCCTCTCTGCAGCATCTTCATCCATATACATGAAAAGCAAGTAAGGAAGGTCACAGGTGACAAGCGCCAGTTTCTATGCTTTCCCTTCGTATCCATGCCCATGACCAGACATGAGTTAACTCATGTTCCCTTTAGCTCTGTCAGCCACTTTGATGGTCTCAGGGCAGAGCTTCAGCCACCAGGATTTCACCAGAGCAATAAATATAGAGCCCAGTCCCTTCCTTCCAAATCATTTCAGCTTCAGTAATTTTGCCTCAGTATTTTCAAAAGAAATTGAGCAGCCAGTAAGAGCTTCTTATATGGCTTAAACATCTGGAATGAGCAGGGGAAAAAAAAAATGCTTTTAGGGCTGCAGGCCTTGACCTGAAGTTACAGTCCTAGAAAAGGATGTCAAGAGTGACTGGATACAACATTATCATTTTCTGCCTGTAACAGATAACAGCATATGGAGCCAACAAAGGCTAGAGAAAGGGCCATGAGGGGTGCCTGGGTTCCACCAGTGCTCAGCAGGGAGGGACGTGAGAGACAGCCAGACTTCAGAGATGGCTGGAGGGAGCTCTGAGAACCTTTTGGAGAGCAGAGCTTTGTAAAACCTGCAGCATCGCCAATACCCTGTAAGGCCAAGATCACCTTCCTTGGCAAGGGTATCAAAAATACAAACACTGGATATGCATAAAAGAAAACCAGGACCTGTAGGGAAAAGGCCATTAGGGATCAATTATTCAAATGAGAGGGGATTGGAGTGGAGGCAGGTAAGGAAAGGACAGAGAAAAGTAGGCTCAAGAAATGGGAAAATAAGTGGGAAAAGGGGCAAAAAGCTGTACAAAGCACATGAAATATGAAAGAAATACAGTTGTTCTGTGTGTATTGCAATTACAGCTGTCATCTCAAAGAAAAGTAATTCATTACCTGCAGGGCAGAGACTTATGCTAGCAGGGTATGAAGAGACTTCGAGCTGAAAAGCTTCTTTTTGTAAGACATCTCTTACAGAATGTGCCTTTTTCCAAGTTCATTCTTGCAAACTTGCATCAGGCCATCAGGTGGCAACAAAGCACCGTGAAAAAAAAACCAGCAGTGACAAGACTCTCGATACCCCTGTGCTCACTCCCCAGGCCCTGGCTGGCACTAGGCTCATCTGCTGCAGCCCAGATGCTTGTTTTATTCCTGTCTCGCTACCTTCTGTGTGGACAATATTAGGATATAGTGCTTTTGGTGCTAAAAATACGGATTGTTGCTGCTGATTCTGTAGCAAATTACACCGTGAAAAGATCCGTGCCAGGCTGAGCTTTGAAGACTCAAGGTTGATTTTCATGGTTGCTGATTAAGAAATGCCTAGTTGCAAACACCCATACCATGGTGAGCCCAGAAAAGGAGAAGATTTGGGAGCAAAGAGGAGAAGGGCATGTGCATGGGCTGAGAGGGCCAGGAGGTCTCATGCAGGGCCAGGAGGTCTCATGCAGGGCTCCCCCTTCCAGAGGCCATGGTGGTAAAGCTGGCTGAGAGAGCTCCTGTGCCTCACATTTACCCTTCCTGTGTTCCTCACTGGTGAGGATGAATTCAGGGTCTTGGTTACCTGTATGCCCCACAGGAGTGTCCCACAGGACTTGTCCATTCCATGGCTATAGGTCTGAAAAGTCTTAGCAGCTCCTCCTGTCTGCTTCCCCTGATGTTGTTGCCTTATGGTAGTACCAGCAGAGGTTTAGGGATACAGAGGAGAGGGGAAAAAACTCATTAATTTGAAACTGAAGGGCTTTAAAAATGATTCTTCTCCAGCAGCATATTAAGCACATTTCTTTCCCACTTGCAATAGCAGACTTTATGCCCTTCCTCACTGCCAATACAGTGGTTAAGCAGTTGTACCAAACTGCCCGGGCAATGTTAAAGAAAAGAAATACCTGAAAAAGACTCTTACCATCGGGAGACAGAAGGGGATTGTTTAAGTGCCACTGACACCTCAGCAAGACCACATTCAATTTACATCAGGATATTCCAGCTTGCCTCCGTGGAGATGTGAAGCCAAATTTGAGATGCTAATTGAAAGTCCCTGGAAAGTTTCTCGCTTTGAACACATGTGCTGTGTTTTGTTAAACCTGAAGATCATGGTGCAGGAGAAGAGCAATTCCTTTGCTCTCCGTGCACACGGCAGCGTGGTGCCACTGGAGCAGGCAGCTGCCACCAGCCCCTCTCTTCAGTCCATGTCTGCACGTTGCCAGAGCTCATCATGCCCGAGCAGTCATGGCAACGGGTGCCTTTGATAACCACTTTTGCTCCCACACCATGAGCCTACATCTCAAAGGAAGACCAGACAAGTGACCGCAGTGAAGAGCAACAAGTACTGATGAACTCTGCTCTGTTCCTTCCCCTCGCCCTAGTACTAAGTGGCTCCATTCCTTTCAAAACAGGCTTCTTTTTTTCCTTTCCTGAGAAAATGTTGTGTGAAAATAAAGCAAAAACTCACACCATCTTTTTTTGTGAATTTTTTTCCTATGCTGCAAGTAACCTGCGGGATGTGATTCCAAAAAAAAACCAACTTTATCCTGAAGACTTTATAAGAGCAGCAGAAATGCTGGTAAGACTGGTTTTCAAAGAAAAAGTGATTCCATCTATTGATTACATACCAGCATAAAGTCTGCTGATTACAGGAGCATCTAAAAAGAGTTGCAGGATATTACTGGGTTGACAAGAAAGCAAGGAATTCAGGTATTTGTTCTGTGACACTGACTGGCTGGAAAACAGCCTCATTTTTCCTGTGAAGTGTATTTCCTTGGAAGTATATTACTGTTGAAAATTTTTAAAGGCTAATTTAATATACAGTCCAGCATTTCACTGTTCAATTATACTGAGCTATATAATTTGAGAAATGACTATTTGAAGCATTTTCTGCATTATTATAGCATGTTTTGTCTCTTTAAAAGTTGTTTTTTTTCTCTTATAAAATCCAAAAGTAGCCAAAATCACTACTTGGGCTACAAATTGATTCCATTTCTTGTGAAGCTGGTTCCATGTCCTGCAAATGAAATGCTACACAGATAATAAACACCTCAAACACTGCAGGTAAAGATGTTTATTGCTTAAAGAGTTTGTGTACAGACAATTCTGTTGTTATTAGGGTACGAAACAACAGAAAGCAAAAATTACTCCATTCAGCTCTCTTGTGTTCATCTTGATAAATGGAACTAAGAAAAAATTCCATAATTACTAAATCAAGGTATAAAAGGAATTAAAAAATGGCAAGGTTAAGTGAAGTTGCCCCAGGAAATACTACACATGGAGCCCTAATTTGATTTCACTGGGGGTATGGGCTATAATTTAGCAATCTGATCCCAGGTGACAGAGGACACAGGCCCTCTAGCCACTGACCTCAGGGGGTTTAATCAACCTCCTCTGCAGACAAGCTGAAGGACCTGTGTTGTCATTGTCCCTGGGGACATTACAGCATTTGACCTTTTTTTTTTAAATTTTTACATTATCCTTGAATTTTTATCAGCCATCCGAATCAAGAGCATGAGGCCTATTTAAAGACACAACAGAGGCTTAAAGTAAATGCATTACACCTGTCAAAAGAGACTAGAAAGAGCAGAGAAGTGTTGGCATGGTGAAAAAGCAAGGGGAAGGGTGAGGATACAAGCAATAAGGTATCCTTCAAAAACCTGAAGTCATGTCCAAGTGAGAAAAAAAGGACGGATCACAATTTATATCTGATTACATGTAACCACACAACAAATCAGGAGAAAAAAAAAAAAACGGAGAGGTACAACTTCCTACAAGCATCTATACTAATAATAGATCTCAGAAATGGGATATTTTCCAGGGAGGCTACAGGGCCAACAGATGATCGTGTACCAAAGGAACTCTCAGAGTTCCAGCAGAAAACCAAACTAAATTTGTAACTACTTTGCTTACTATGATGGCATTCAGGAAGGTTCCCGTGTTGAGTCCTCATGCCCAAAAGCACAGGATTACCTTTCACAAGTGGATGTGTTGGGAATGCTTGTTCATTAGGAATAAAATGGACAAATTAATCCAATATTCCTGCACAGGGGTGGGAGATTTGAATACTAGCTCTGGTGCATGGGTCTTCATATGATCCCAGGATAATCCAAGCTGGAAGAGATCTCAAGGGGTCTCTAGTCCAACCTCCTGCTCAGAGCAGGGCCAGCTTTCGTGTCAGACCAGGCTGCTCAGGGCTTTATCCAGTCTGGGCTTGGAAAGCTCCAAAAGTGGAAACTGCATGTCTCTGAGCAAGCTGTTCACATTCCTGGCTGTCCTCATGGTGAAAAAACATCTCCTCAAGTCTGGACAGAAGCACTCCTGCATTATAGTGGACATAATACCAAAATTGTCAAGGCCTTCAGCAGTTTTGATCAAGGTTTGAAGTTAGCTTGGAGCAGAGGATCAAAAGAACTCTAGACAGACCTTCCAAACAAACATATTCTACAAAACACATTTGGCAGAACTATTTCAATGGGATGCTCCATAGCTGTATCAAATCATGCAGCCCATTTTGTGCTATGGGCATTATATTAACATAGGCAATATAACAGACTTTTGGGAAATAGGAATGATTTGGAGACCACCAGCAGAGCACATAGTGGAGAAAGGGGGGATCTCTTCAAAGATACACACAACCTTAGAGGCCGAGTGGAGAGGTCAAGTTTTCCCTACCTGAAACCTTTCAGGAAATTGAAAACAGAATGGACTTTTCCCCATCTAAAACTTAGTCAAGGAAGTGGTTAGAAAGAGTGAATATTCATGATCAGCTGTGAGCCTGGAAACCCAACGCCAGGCTCCCGAGCTGAGCAGTCCATCCTTATGCTGCTGCTGGACATCTTCCCTC